CCTGGCGCATGCACTGCCGGAGGGCTGCCTCGGCCTCGGTGCCGCGGCCGGCGTGGAGCGTCTCCAGGGCTGTCTGTTCCTGGCGTCGCCCTTCGCGGACTTCTCGCTCACGCCGAGATAAGCATGGCATGTCCTTGCACCGAGGCTCCCGTCCCAGCGTCTGCTCGCCAACGTCGCTGATCATGTTTGCAAGTTTATCCCAAACCAAGGGGCGAGCTTCCTCCGCAGCAGGCTGGTCACGGAGAAGGGCGGCCATGCCCTCCTCGGTCCCTTGGCGGAAAACCTTTCGTCGCTTCTCCGCCTCCTGGCTGCACCCTTTGGCAGTGTCCCACCGCAAGGGCCGTGGAGGGCGAGCAGCAGGTGATTGGGCAGCGGCGTGGCCATGCGCCTCACGAATCGCAGCACGATGTGTGGACCGCGGGATGAGGAGAGTCACCAGCTTGACCCGGTGATCGACAGTATCGAACTGCTGAACCTTCAAGCTCCGCCAGCGCCGGCGCCCCGGCTCCAGGCTGCTCAGGAAGCGGTCGCTCTCGTACCAGAGGCGGTTCACTGGATTCCACCACGTACCCCGCTGGCAGCACGACAGGTGGCCGTCCACGTCGTTTAGGCCTGCGGTAGAGGCCCAATTGAAGAGCTGGTGGGAGAGCCTCGCCGTCGGAGTGTGGCTGCCGAAGCCGCCGTGCCAGCCGGCAGCAGTGGCCGCGAAATCCCGGCCCATGTGCGAGTTCATATCGCCTCCGACCACTAACGCTCCCGGCGCCCGTCGTGCCAAGAGCCGTGAGCCGGCCGCGAAGTGTTGTGATCTACGCTGAAGAGACGTCTGAGGGGGAACATAAGTGGCCACCAGCACCATCCATTGGCCGTGCCATCGAAAGCGGAGGCTCAACCAGCGATCTTCCTCCTGATCACGTTGCTGTCCGTCAGTGGCCCACTGCACGAAGACCGCCCGACTGAGGAAGAAGCCCACCGTGCCAACAGTCACCAACGTGTACTCCTCCACCGCCAAATATGTACACTGTCCAGCTGACGCCCAAGCAGGCTGCAGAACATCAGATATGAACATTACGTCAACTTTGTGCTTTCTGACAAATTCTACTAGACATGCAAGTGTGATGCGGCAATCCGGGTTCGACCAAGAAGCCCCTTGGAGGTTCAAGGTGCCGAAGCGGAGCTGCTGTCTACACTGAGGTTGGTTGCATTCCCGATGCTGCCGGCGAGGCCGCACGAGTCGATGCACGTGCGCCGGACGAAGCCACTGCTGGCATCCAGGTTCCCCGCCTTGCCGTTGACGAGTTTTACGCGCCGAGCGGCGCGAGGGCTCACAGGGGCCACGACGAAACACCCCGCTCGCCCGCCACACCCCGAGAGGTGTGGCTTCCCTCACTTTGGCCGTGGCTGATGCTATAAACGTCGAGGTCTCAAAGCTCGATCATCCACGTTACCCTTGGCGCGGTAGGACGCAGGGACCGTGTCCATACCCACGACGGCCACTCGTATCCTCAGTGTGGTTTATCCTGTTCTTCTCTACTCTTAGATCGGGCAAGTCCTCATGCAGGCAGATGTTGGACGACGCAATGGACAGATAGCCAACACATGCTCAAACATAGCCAAGAGCAGTCAAACTCATCGTGCCCCGACCATTTGTCCTACTATTTTTGAATGTTCCTCCTGTAGAGGGACAGGCCCGACTCAACTCTACACCCTGCGAAATGCTTAAGAAATCATGGGTTAAGAAATTCATAATCTCGGAATCTGAATAAAAAACCCAACGTGTCTGTTAAAATCTTGGGATTCACATTGAGACGTTGAGAATCATCGAGACTCTGGCCGAAAACTTAAGCTTTCTTAAGCATCGCCTAAGGTGTACTCGTGCCTCTGTTCCGTCACGCCTTGCAACACTGCAGCGCTGCCTCCGTGCGTGCTTCGTCGCGGGGCCACAACCTGCGGAGCGGGCCGCCCGGCTCACTCTACCGCGCCGCCCCGCCGGTCGCACGAGGGCGGCTGGGTGGGCTAACACGGGAGGCGGCTGGCGCTTTGTGAAGGGAAACTGGGACACACAAATAAATACACACAAATAAAAAGATTCTCCATATGTTCCTATATTTTCTGAGTTTTTGTCTTCCCCCCCACTTCCCATATTTTCCCATATTTTCCTGGGAGTCGACAATTAATTGTGTCTGTGTGTTTCTTCCCCTCCTGACTTTGGAAGGACGTAGGTTGCTACCTCGGGCCCCAATCAACAAGGAGTTGCCCCCGAGGCAAGCACGAGTTCAGAAGCAACACTTTACCCAAATCATAAGACTACTGCGTCGGAGTCCCCTGTCAGCATACGGCTAGATACACGAAGGCTGGGCTAATTCAGCTGGCCTTACCGCCGCTATGAAAGCTACTGTGGTGCTCCCCAAGAGTTGGGCAGGGCACTACGCAGCCACTCTCGCACCTGACTGCACGCCCCCCCGCAATCACTGCCTGATGCTGTCAACCAAACCAGAGTTTCGCACCGCCACGCAGTTGGCCAGCCAATACTGCCTGCGCATGCCATTCACTACACACGCCGCTGCAGCTTTCTATTCGAGGGTTTGTGAGGGAGTCTCATGTGGAGCGTGGGTGGGAAGATAGCACGTATCTTGGCAAAGAGCGCATGTTGCTTCCTACTGTGGTCTGCCGTCTTGCGTTATACTTCCCTTCCTTCTCCCCGTTCGCCGCAGCCCTGCTACAGTGCTTGCTCTGTAAACAACTGAGCTTGACAATAAACACACAGACGGGCCAGCACCGTCTGAGCCAGCCTAGGCCACAGTGTCAAGCCCAAAGATGCACATCCCTAAGACCAGTCGCCTATTCTTTCATTGAGCTGTCACGCGTCGCCTAGCTCAAGCCTGCCATGCACTCAGCGCTGCCATATTACTTTCTCCCTGTACTGAGGGCGGTGATGGGAATTGGGTACTACGGTGTAAGGCTTTGGCGTGACGGGAATTCACCTCATTGCGCCTGCTTGACCTCTACCAAGGGCGCTTAGCTTATACAGGTAGTGAGAGACACACACATGGGAAAAGGCACGACGAACACTTAGCAAACAAACGGAGGAAAAAGGAGGAGGAGGAGAAGGAGGAGGAGGACCAGGGGGAGAAGCCCAGCTCCGAATCGAGGCACCCCCTGAGAGCGGAAGACATGCTGGACACTACTCCGCGTGCCCCTCATCCTCTCCCACCTCCTGCTCATCATTGAACTCCCCCATCATCCGTTCACGGACCTCCTCACTCCGTGGACCACCAGAAGTCTAGACCAATTTCCCAGGGCTCGTTCTTTGTCGATGAATGACTTTTGACGGCCTCGGGCCCGGGAAAAGGCCCCTGCAAAGCCGAGCACCGTCGAATAGCTCGCACCGTGATTTTTGTTCTGACCGGGAAACAGCAACATCGTCTTCGTCCAGGCCACGAGATCCAGAACAGGCCACGAGATCCAGAACTGGCCCCGCTCCCAAATCGCCCTCGACACCTTCCGATGCCGACGGTCGCGGGTGTGTCTCGGTTGCGGTCTGGACGGCTCGCCCGCCGCGAAGGTGAAGAACGACAACACTCCGAACATGTTGGCAGATTTTCGGCCGTCCTCGGTTCTTGGAACTTTCCTCGCCTGGAGGTCTGCGGGACGGGAAAATGACCACAACCACTGCTTCTTGTTTGCGCCGCCTTCCAGCCGGGCGAAGCTCAACGAAAATGGCCACTACCACTGCTCTCTTTCTGCGGGCTGCAGGGTGGCAACGCAAGGAAAGCAGTGGCCGTGGTCGTTTTCACGCCCCGTATGGAACTTTCCTCGCCTGGATCCTCCTCCTCCTCCTCCTCCTCCTCCTCCTCCTCCCCCTCCTCCTCCTCCCCCTCCTCTCCTCCTCCTCCTCCTACTCCTCCTCCTCCTCCCCCTCCTCCTCCTCCTCCTCCTCCTCCTCCTCCTCCTCCTCCTCCTCCTCCTCCTCCTCCTCCTCCTCCTCCTCCTCCTCCTCCTCCTCCCCCCCCTCCTCCCGAGGACGCGAGGAAGACAGGCCAGGCTGAGCAGCAGGCCCGAGGAAGACCTCGAGCCCTGTCGGGGTCCACCGCGCGAGAGACTCGCCGCGTCCGGGGGCCTGGGCCGGGCCGCCACGGCTCCGTCCCGGGCCGGGGCCTCGGCGATGTAGCCTCCCAGCCCGGCCAAAAGTCCCTTAGGGCTTGTTGACTTTTCGCCAATCGACTTGTGAGAATCGAGCCAGATAAACCCGGGTAAATGCAGATAAATCGAGGTAAATCCAGGTAAATCTAGATAAATCTGGGTAAATCCAAGTAAATCCAGAGATCTCCAGGGAAAGTTCGAGCACTTCGCGGCCGCTCCAGCGCGAGTCGAAGGACGGCAGAAGTCGTTAAGCCTTTAACGAAAAAGCCGCTGTATCCACCACCGTGGGGAACTTTTGCTTCGCTTGTCGCGGCGGCTGTCCTGGCAACACGCTGTGCCCTGCAGGCGGACAGCGTGTCGCTCCGCTCCGCGGGACGGGAGGCTGGGGAAGGCTCAGGACGCTGACGCTTGAGGACTGGGGCGTGGTAAACCAGCGTGCCTACCTGCGGGCGGTGAATGCCTTCGCGTTCCCGATGCCCCCCTATCCCCACAGACCGTCCTCATCCTACCTTCCTCTCCCCCCCGATCTTCAACTGCAGGGAAATCATGTGAGCGAAGATCAAACACGGGTCTTGCGCGAGATGGCATAGCGAGCTTACGCGGCGGCTTACGCGGCCGCCAGCGCGGCAAGCCACATTGGAAACGCGGGCGCTTTCGCACGACCCTACGCGGGCAGCTTACGTGTCAATGTCGGCGCAGACAACCCGATTTGTTTTGTTGCGTCGCTCATGTGGGATCTCACTGGCCATTGACCTGGCTTGCCAGCCTGCACTTTCTCCTGACTTCGGATCCTCTCCATTCGTCTCCAGATGCCCTGAGCAATGAGCCCCAACTCTTCCAGACTTCTGCCCGGTCTGAAGCGGAAGGAAGAGGCAAGGGAGAGGACTTGGGCGAGGAGAAGGCCACGACAGCAAAACTGGGTGGCCTTGCCAACCTTGGCTCGAAGCTGCGAGAACTAGCTCGCACGCGGCCTACACAAGATCCTAAAGGGCTGGAAAAGGGTGCCACGCTTCGACCGCGCTCCAGCACCATCGACAGCACGCAGCCAGTGCTTCTATCCATGTGTCCATGCTTGGCGTCCTATCGTGCTCCCCTCCAGCGCCTTTCAGTGAAGTCGAAAAGATCTGAGGAAGAGAGGGAGCGAGGAGGAGGAGGAGGAGGAGGAGGAGGAGGAGGAGGAGGAGCGAGGAGGGAGCAGGAGGATGACCAGCAGCGCCGGCAGCAGGAGAGGGCAGGGGGCCGGCTGTGCCTGTCCACCGCCATCTCAGAAGAGGGCTGTCCCGCCTGAGCGACCACACGCCCAGGACCATTGTTCGGGGAGACGTAAGACCCGGGTACGGGGGACTCGGAAATCCCCGACGAGGTCGTCAAAAAAATGACGAGGCCGACCCTGCATTTTGACGAGGCCTCCCGCTGCAGACATCCCACGAAACTCCTCCTCGTCAAAATCCGAGGCGCGGTCGTCAAAAAACGATGGCGAACCCGAGTCCTGGCAAACCCGGGTCTTACGCTCCCCCGAATTGTGTTAGTCAGCCTCAGGTCGGGCACGTCCCCCTACAGGCGCATTTTGGACGAAGAATGCAAACTCAAGAAACATTCGAAATTCCTCGAACAGGGTCGGGAAATCGTCCCTGGACTACCTCTGGGGGCTATTCTCAAACATGAGCATGCCCGACGGAATGCCAGTCCCAGGCCGCTTCCTGCGGGGCCGGAGACGCGGGGCCCGAGGGGCCTCGGGGCGGAGGTGGCGAACACGAGGCGCCCGCCGTGTGGAGGTCTGGGAAACCGAGTCGCCTGGACCTCCCAGAGAGTTTGCGTCCAGCATCCGACGCCTTGATTCGGCGGCGCGCACCAAGAAGTAGGGGGAGGGGGGCAGGCTCCTTGGAGGGAGGCTGGGTACTTCTTAGAAGGCGCCAGCCTCACGTGTGGGCGATTCTCCGGAAACCCTGAGCCCAAGAACGTTTTCATCTCTCGGGGGCGCATAGCTCACTTCCGCCGCCTTCCGCCAACCTTCCGCCTGCTTCCGCCGGCGGAGGCGGCCTCGTCTTACTTCCGCCGACCTTCCGCCGCCTTTCCGCCATTTTCCGCCGCGGAAGAGATGGCAACTCCTTTGATCTTCGAAGGCGAGGCCCCTTTCGGAACGCCCCATGTATAGACAAGGCCCGCGCCTTTAGCAGGGATGCTTCTGAGAAGCCTTCCCCCCATCCCCTTCTGCGCGTGGCCGGTTGATGTGTTCGATGCGGGGCCCCCAGATATCCCGATCGTGTCCCTAGGGCCGGCCGGCCATCCCTGCTCGCTCTCCGACGGCCGCAGAGACCGAGCCCGGGCCCCCAGAGCCCGAGGCCGATGCCAGCGAAGAGGAACCTCGACGTCTGGGCCCCTCCTGGACCCCCGACGTCGTGATTCTTGTGCACCGCGTCGAGCCCCAGAAGCCTACAGAACCCTTCCCCGGGACCGGCTCTTCATCCCGAGCACTTCTTCGACGGCCCCGAGGCCCAGGGAAGGCCCCTGGAGGCCGGGCGCAGCGAAAAAGCCTCCCCGTCGTGGACCTTTTCACGACTGCAAGCGGGGCTGGGACGCTCGGGCCCCGTCACATCGTCGGCCGCCGTCGTCGTCGTCGCCGTCGTCGGCGTCGTCGCCGAGGGGGCCCGCGACGGGGTCTGTGCCTGGAGGGCCGGCATGCATCCCCGCGGCCCTCCGCCGAAGGAGACGCCCTGCTAATGATTCCACTTCCGAGGCAGCCTCCCACGCCAACGTTCGCGCACGGACCCGGCTTCGCCGAAGCACGAGCAAACCCATCGGTCCTCGATCGATCCTCGATCCTCCGTCGATCCTCCAAGGATCGGGGATCTTCTGACCAGGGTCAATCCAGACCCGGGTCAGCAGGAAACCAAAAAACTGCAATGCAGAAAAAAAAAACTGCAACGCAAGTCTTCGCAAACCCGGGTCAGCCAATATGCGCGGCCGCCTCGCGGCCACGAGCGGCTCCCTAACCCGGGTCAGCCAGAGGGGATCTTCGCAGGATCCGGCAAGATCTGGCGCTCTGGCTGACCCCCCGTTTGCACTGACCCCCGTCTCGAGGCTCCCGAGAGGATCCTCGATCGACCCCGCCGGCCTCCGCCGCAGGAGCCGCCCTCCTTCCACCTCCGAGGTAGCCTTCCACATCAGCGGCCGCGCCCGGGCGCGCCCTCTCCTCCTGCTCGGGTCGACCGGGCTCCCTCTGCGGAGGTCTCCAAGACGGGGACCGCACCGCGGCGCCGACACCTCGACGGTGCTGACTACCTACCAGAGCACCCCAACCCAACCCGAAGACCCGAATTTCGGGTTGGGGGGGGTACGGGTTCCATATGTGTTTTCTCGATGTTCCACGACCCCCCCCAACTGGAAATCGAGGATAAATTGGGGCCTTCGGGTTGGGTTGGGGTGGTTTGGTGGGTGGTGAGGTGCACGGGCGACGCCGGGAAGCGGAACCGCCCCCCGGATCGCGCCGCAATGGTGCCCCGACCTCCGCCGTCGTGTGTGTCGCCTCCACGGCTTTTCTCCGAGGGCTGGGCCCCGTCCTCGGGACCAATCCTCGTCCCGAGTCGTTTCCTGGCGGAGGAGGAGGAGCAGGAGCAGGAGGAGGAGGAGGAGGAGGGGCAGGAGGAGGAGGAGCGAGGAGGAGGAGGAGGAAGAGGAGGAGGAGGAGGAGGAGGAGGAGGAGGGCCCCAGAAGCCGAAGGCGGCCAGAAGCATCCCGGTGTGATTGCTTGGACAGGTGCAGCATCCGTCCTGCGCCATCCGCTTCCTCCTCTCTCCTCCAGCTTGTCCGCCCCCATCGGCTGGCTTCTGCTGTCATCGCCCGTCGCCTCTCCCTCCTGTGCCTCCTGCTCCAGCTCCTGCTCCTCTGCCTCGTCGTCCTGCTCCTCCAGAACATCCGACCGCTCGGCAGAGGCCTCCACCCCAAAAAGAGTGGGGTTTTGGTGGAGCGCATCACTTGTTACACCCGTGTAGGTCGGCTATTTGGCCGCTGATGTCGACCTGCTCTTCCTCCAAAGGCCTCAGACACCCGGCACCGTAACGTGAACGTTTTCTTATTCGGCGTTTCGGCATTGCGCGGAGGGGGCGGGAGGGGGGGTCTCCTTCGGACCTCCGCTTAACGCGACTGTTTGCAACAGTGCGTCCTATGGAGGGGACTCCACCTGCTCGAAACAGGCGCCCAAAACAGCCAAGATCTCCTCCAGGGGGGGTACGAGGGCCCGCGCCGATCGGCTAAACAATGAATACGAAAACGATCACAATTTGGCTCAGTGATGCCCCGACCCCTCCCCTGGGCTGGGTTTCCATCCCGCGGGGTCGTTGTCTGATGACCTCAAAGAGGCCGCAGACGGCCTCCGGAGGCCGACAATCGGTGGAACCACCCTCGCCCTGATCTCATGATGCCGGAGGGCTGGGCCAACCTCCCATCGACTGACTGCTGCTGCTGTCGTCACCCGTCGCCTTTCCCTCCTCCTCCTCCTGCTCCTCCTCCTCCTCCTGTTCCCTCCTCACTCTCCTCCTGGTCCACCTCCTCCTCCTCCTCCTCCTCCTCCTTCTCCTCCTCCTCGTCCTCCTCCACATCTACACAATATGAGAACTACTCTCCTCTCTCCCCTGATGCCGTCTGGAAGATATCAGTCCCCCCTCCGCGTACAGGTTTTTTTTACACTGGATTCCTGGGGAATGGGTTTTCGCTTAGGTTTGTTTTTCAAAATGTTTTTCCCGCTGAAGCGCTGGCTCCATTTCTGCGCCTTTGATTGTTCCCCACCCTGCTCCCGCTGCAACGCGGGTGTTTTCGATCCTTCCAGATAGGCCCCAAAATCTAGAGCATGTCTCCGAAAAAAACCATCGGAAGTGATAACACATTCGGTGCCGATTCGTTTTGGCCGCAGAAGCACCCCTTCCACTTTGGGGCGTCGTCGCTTTCAGGAAATATCGAGCGGGAGCTCCGTTTCTGCTTCGAGAAGGCGATGCTGAAGCAGAGCCAACGGGTGCTCTCCATCAGCCCCGCCTTGTGTGGAGCCTTTTGGGGAACCCAAAGAGTTAGACATGGAACCACGACTCCAGACCGGCCCAGATCTCTCGAATACGGTCCACTTACCCTCCAAGGAGCCCGGCGCCATGCCATGACTTGTTGTGCGGTGTTGCGTTCTGCACAGCTTTGCGATAACATGATTTGCGCGTTGTAATGCATTGTGGTGCAATGCTTCACTGCGCAATGCCACGCCATGCTATGGCATGCTACGCTCTTCCGTGCTCTTCTACGCCATGTCATGCCAAGCTCCACCATGCATCGCGTACCATCTCGCGATCATTGCCCTGCTCGACATCCGATTGTTCGAACATAACGGATATCTACGCCATGGTAAAGGATGGGAGGAAAGGGGGGGCCGACAGATATGACGCGAGAGCGCCTAGCTTGTCCTCCTCCTCCTCCTCCTCCTCTTCCTCCTCCTCTTCCTCTTCCTCCGCCTCTTCCTCCTCCTCGTCCTCATACTTCTCCTCTGTCTCCTCCTATCCCTCCTCTCCCTCCTCCTGGTCCACCTCCTGGTCTGTCTCCTCCTGGTCTGTATGACCCTGCCTCCTCCATATCCCTCCGCCCCGAAAACTCCGACGTTGTTTTTGTTGCCCATCGTGGACCCCTGGGGGTCTAGACCCCTTCCCTGGGACTCCGTCTTCCCAGAGCCCTGCCTATTTCCACGTGTTAAAGGGCAAAAGGAAAACACACAAGAAACACCCAGACGAGCGAACCTTTCAGTGGAGGCCTCCCAGGGCCCGAAGTAGATGGGGTCAAGGGATCGCGCCGCATCGCCGATACATCGGCGATGCACCGGCGATGCATCGCCGATGCATGGGCGACGCACTGGCGATGCATCGTCGACGTGGGTGATGCATCGGGGACGTCGACGCGAAACAAATCGGGATCCACATTGAGCCGCATCGGCGATGCATCGGCGGTGCGGCGCGATCCTCCGACACCATATGTTCCGACCCCATCTGGGAGGCCTAGATTCAGCAAGCGCAACGAAGGATGGGATCGAACAGGGCAGGGCGGCTTAGTAAACGCCCGATGCTGTTTCGTATACGCTGACTGTGGGGGTAGTGTTTGTTTTTTTTTTTGGGGGGGGGGGGCATCTTTCCTCTTCCTCTTCCTCTTCCTCTTCCTCCTCCTCCTCCTCCCTGCTCCTCCTCCCTCCTCCTCCTCATGCTCCTGCCCCTCTGCCATCCTCCTGCTCCTCTTCCTCCTCCTTCTCCTCCTCTTCCTCCAATGACGTTTGGGTCATCCTCTGCCTCCTCGCCCCCCTCTTCCTCCTGCTTCCAATCGCAACCGCGGCGCTAGCTGCTGGAGGGGGCGCCATGGGCGCTCGGCCGGTGCAACGGCGCCCTCATCCTCCTCTTCCATCCTCCTGCTGCTGCTGCTAATGAAGCTGCTGCTGCTGCTGCTGCTGCTGCTGCTGTTGCTCCTCTTCCTACTCCTCCTCCTCCTCCTCCTCCTGCCCCTCCTCCTCCTCCTCCTCCTCCATCTCCCCCTGCTCCCCCTCCTCCTCCTCCTCCTCCCCCTC